TGTTTGCTGCTTCGGTCCGACAACGAAAGACTATGGCCTTTTTTGTTAACCGATTCAGAGGTACTATTATCTTGGAGAAGTCCTTAATGAACCTTCGGTAATAGCCTGCCAATCCCACGAAACTCCAAATCTCAGATGGAGACTTCGGAACCTCCCAGCTCATCACGACCTCTACTTTGACCGGGTCAACCAAAATACCATTCTGGTTAACAAGGTGCCCAAGAAACTACACATCGCACAACCAGAACTCACACTTGGAGAACTTGGCGTACAAGATCTCCCTCTTTAAGGTATCCAACATCTCTAAGTACTCTTCGTGCCACTCATACGTCTTGGAATAAAACAAGATCCCATCAATGAAAACTATCACAGACCGATCTAACATTGGCATGCATATGTGGTTCATGATATCCATGAACGCGGCAGGAGCATTGGTGAGCCCGAAGGGCATCACAAGGAACTCGTAGTGGCCATAACAAGTCCGGAAAGCAGTCTTCTGTACATCCTCGTATCTGGCCCTCATCTGATTATAGCCTAAATGTAAATCTATCTTGTAAAACCAAGATGCCCCCTGTAACTGGTCAAAGAGATCATCAATCCTCAGGAGTGGGTAATGGTTCTTCACCGTCACCTTGTTTAGCTCCCGGTAGTCTATACACATCCGATGCGACCCGTCCTTCTTCTTCACCAATACGATCTGGGATCCCCAGGGTGTACTGCTCGGCCTGATAAATCTCTTGTCTAACAGAACATGCAGCTGTGTAGACAAATCCTGAATCTTAGGACGAGCCAACCGATATGGTGCCTTGGTTATCGAAGTCGCACCGGGAACTAGGTCGATCTGAAACTCTACCTTCCTCTCCGGAGGTATCCTAGATAGCTCCTCTGGAAATATCTATGGGTAATCTCTCACCACTAGCACATCAATAACAATCGCCTTACCCGCTTCCCAAGTATCCATAACGTAGGCGACGTACCCTGCGCCACCTTGCTATAGGTAGCGCCTAGCCCTCGCTGCTGAGCACAAAGCTGGTCCTCGTTATGGCATCTCGCCCTAAATCACCAACTCTCCCCAACTTAGGGACTTGATACACACTAGCTATTGTGCGCAGTCGATTACTGCCCCATTAGGGCTCAACCACTCCATGCCTATAATAACCTTGTTGCCACGTAATGGAATGGGAACAAAATCTGTGATGTAGCGCTCGTTATATAACCTCAACACGCAGTCTCTGAAAACCTATGATGCTCTGGCAGATCGGTCGTTAACAATCTCGGCCTCTAAAGGATAATCTAACGTCCTCGAAGACTCAAAAAACCTCTTGTGAAGCGCGAGAGAAACAAATGATCGGGTAGCCCCCAAATCGAATAACACCTGTACCGGGATACCTTTCACATAGAACGATCCTAAACATAACACATAGATACAGAACCTAAATATCATTATTTATATGAAATAAGAGTTAGGGAGAAGAAAACATACATGTCACCACATCAGATGCAGCACGCGCCTCCTCGACGGCCAGCTGGAAGACTTGGCTCCTCAACACCGGAGCATCTGTCTTGCCCTGTCGGTCATCCGTAATCCACAGGGTTGCTGGAGCTGGCGCCGCCACTGGCGTTGGTGCTGTCAATCTAGGGTAGTTGGCCTTTTTATGGCTCTTTGTATTGCAATGAAATCAAATCAGGTCTGATGTTCTAAAGGTGGGGGTATGGTAGTACAACCCCTACCAAAGTGCCTAGCTTGCCGCACTTATAGCAGCCCGAATATCCTAGTGTACAAACCCCCTCATCAGTCTTGTCGCATTTCCCACAGCGGCTCCGGCCCTACTGGCCCTTCTACCTAGTCTCGGGTCCCTTGGGTTTATTCCCTAAAACCCTAGTAATCTACCCAGTCTTTGCCTTCCTATTCCGGATGTGCTCAATGTCAATTTCTCTCTCTCTCTCTCTCTCTCTCTCTCTCTCTCTCTCTCTCTCTCTCTCTCTCTAAGTTATATGGGGGAGAGTTTTAACACTCAGTTTTAAATCACTTCATTACTTGGGGCCGTGACCTAAATCATCAGTTATCGTAGGGCTTCGGGCCTTAGGGGAAGAGAGAACAAGCCCTTTTTGGATGAGATTTTATAGATTAAGTGATCTAAGTGTTCGATTGTGTTTTGGAGCCCAAGGGTATATCGGTGATTTGGCAATTCTGGTCTTTATGAATTTTATATATTGTTGAGGAAGTCTTAAGGCGAGGATGAGTTAATAAAAGTGTATAGCTTCTCGTTGCCTTTTCGTGGATATAAAGAACGTCAAAAATGGACTTAGAATGAAGGAGTTATGGCCAATTACAATTTAAGTATTTTGGAGCTTGGTCGAGTACGCAGGGCATACTCACCAAGTAAGTAGGGCGTAGTGGTTGGATGGGTCGCAAATGCCTTCTAAGTACGTCGGGCGTACTTAGGGGTACACAGGGTGTATGCCTTCAGATGTAAACCTAATTTATAGGGGTTTACCCCTATTTAAGCTTCTTTTATTCATTAATCCTTGCCTCTTATCAGCCTCCATGCCTCCTAAACCCTAATCTCGACCCCTAGCCACCATTTTGGAGTTCTTAAGATTTTGTGAGGAATCTTGGAGTGCTTTTGTGCATTTTGAAGAGATTGGAGCTTCTTGTGGAATCATCACTTGGAGTGGAGCCTAGACATCCAGAAGTTACTAATCTTTTGCAACCTATTAAAGGTAAAACGCATTAATCTTGTCATCTCTTTTGGGTGGATCTAGTTTGGGGCGGTTTGTGGTATATTGTGGTCTCTTTGGTTTGCCTTTATGAGAATGAGTTTGCCTCAAGAGTTCGGTCCTTAGATCTAGACGTTTTAGGTATCCCAAAATACATAAAAATGTGATCGTAGGGGATAATATCAACCCATGCATGAGTGTTAGTTCCGTTGTTGAATTTATCAAGATTTGACTTGGATTTGGGACCTTTAAGCCAAGCAAAAGCTCAATGTCAACAACTTTATGGATTAAGGCATGATTTGGAACAAGTTCGGAGTATTGGATCCTTTGGCTTAGGGGATTAAGATATTTTCTAAGTGGATTGTGAGCAGTATGCATACGAGGGGCGTACATCCTGGTATATAGCGCGTACTGAGCCAACTCGGTGTATGTTGGTCGTACCAACTGAGTACACGGGGCGTACTCAGTCTGTTTTAGCTTCCTTGATTTGTTGACCTTTTGAGTATTGACCATTGGCTAGAAGTTTGACTGGAGTATAACAATGGATATTTTGGGCATTTTAGGATATTGGGCCTTCTCGGATTAGGCCTATGATGGGTTTTGGGCCCAATATAGCAAATTGGGCCATATTTGGGCTTTGGCTGATTATATTAGAATTTGGATTTTGGGTAAGTGGATTGGGCTTTGGCCTTAAGCTAAGTTTAGGTAACGGTAAAAAAGTCTTTAAGCCTAATTTGGACTCTTAGTGTGATTCGTGATCAAATTGTTAATTGGATGTTATTTTGTGATTGACAACGCAGGGGATTTTAGCGAATCTGCAACTGGAGATTTATCTGTGGGTTTCAGCCGTATGAGGTGAGTCTCGTCAATGTATCTATGGGTCGAACGCACTAATGTAGGCCTATTGGCTTATGTGTTGTTGAAAGACCAAGGGGTGGCCCTTGGCATTGTATGAAACACCCAGAGGTGGCTCCTAGCAAATATGTATGCAAGACCAGGGTTAGGACACTGGTAGTTAAGTAGATTGTTAGTTGTGGAATGTATGCTTGTTGTCTTTATGATGCTTTCATGCAATACCAAGTGGTGGCTCTTGGCACATGTCTGTAAGACCTAGTGTTATGGCCCCGACTTGGCAAGGAAAGACCATGATATGGTTCGTGATATAATGGCAAGACTATGGCTGTCACATTCCATTCTCTATTGTATGTATGGTATGTGGTATTTTGGGAAAATCACTAAGCATTGTGCTTATTGTTTATTTTTCATGTTTTCACGTACTTCTGGTTCAAAAAGGAAGGGTCCGACTTAATTACAACGCATAAACCCATGTTTTTCCGTGACCTTGTGATTTTGGGAATTGTATTCTGATAACTGTTTTATTATGAAATAGTTTTAAATGTTCGAATATAAGATAAATAGGTGTTTTGATTATATAAAAAATCAAGTTGGTATGAGAGCCTTAGTTTGAGGGATTGCGATAGTAACCTACCAATTTAATCGTCATTAATCTCATGTATAATTTCACCCAATTTAAATTTGTATTTTCCTTATACAAATTTTTTTAATGATCTCAAGTTTTTCACTCTAAAAATATTTCAAGCATTTATTTCATATTCGTTCCTTTATCAAATTTTAATTTTTTATTTTCCTTATATTCATAAATTTTTTATTGGGATAATGATTTGAGAGGGTAAAGTAATTTAGCTTTTGGTCTTATTTGGTCACTAAATTATTTTTTGTGTTTTATTAACCCTTAAACTTGTTGAAACGTTACATTATACCATTATGACCGATAATTGTGGGTTTCGCCGGTTTCAGACGTGGTTTCCAGCCAAGTATGATTTTCCGATCACCATCATTTGGGGTTGTTTCATAGGTTCGGATGCGCTCAACTCAAAAACCATAAATTGGATGAACTCAGACAAGATAAGGACTCTGATGGTCTGCTATAAGACCAAAAATGTGATGTACTTGTATGCTTATGTGAACGATTTTCAGAAAAGTTTTGGTGTGAGCATAAATCTTAAAAGATCCAATCGTGGTTCATAAAACCCAATATTAGATTTTTAAGGTTTTATGGGTTTTAATGGTAGTTCATCAAAACCCATCTCTGAAACAAAACACATATCTGATGTGCTCATCGTTCTTGTCACCGAATCAAAAAATCAAAGCTGGAATACGAACAAATGAAAAATGATCTTGAATCTTAAAAACGAACCAATAACTTGTTCATGTGTTCATCATGTGTGTAGAACCCAAAAATCCCTAAATCGATGGGTATGGATCTAAAAGGAAGCTCAAAATATGAAATGAATCTTCGAAATCGAAAGAGTTACAGTTCTGTCATCGATGAGCGAGATGAATATGAAAGAGCATTTGAAAACTTTTCCCTTAAAATCCAGATCCGACCCATAGGTGTTAGGGTTTGCAAATCGGAGCTTGGTTTTGTAGAAAATCTGAAGGAAGAAAGGCGGTGTTCCGGAGAAGACGACAACATTCTAAAAAAGGTTTACCGTCGCTTGTTCCGACAATGGTTTGTAGCTCGGAGGCTAGGATTTGTGAGTTTATTTTCGTGTGTTCATGTTCATGTTCATCTTCATCAGCTTTCAATTTTCACACGAACACGAAGAACATATAGTTGGTTGTGGTTTGTGAGTTCATTTTCTGAATTCTGTGTCTAATTCCTTGAATAAAACCTAGATTAAATGTGTAGCCGAAGATAAGGAATGCTGAAAATGTTGCCACATAAGCTGACCGGAAAACCCACTATTACTGGTCATAATGGTATAATGTACAATTTCAATAAGTTCACGAGTTAATAAAGCATGAAAAATAGTTTAGTAACCAAAAGAAAAAGTACATTAGCCTCTCAAATCATTATCAATTTTTTATTTTTGATAATTTACGCGATTTTTATTTATTTATCAAATTTAAACTTTACAAAATCGGATTTAATAGTAACCTTCCAACTTAATCGTCATTAATTTCATCCATAATTTCAACCAATTTAAATTTGTATTTCCATAAATAATTTTTTTAATTATCCTGATTTTTTCCCTCGAAATATTTTTCGAGCATTTATTTTTAGATAATGTTGCCCCATTATAATTATAACTTTCCTCATATTAAATATATAGGGAAAAGATTAAATGAGAACATCTGAAAGGTTGAGAACGTAAGAAAAGTTCTAGAACAATCAATATATAAGAGTATATTAGTAATTGTATGTTTTAATTAAAATAAAATTCAATAAAATTCCCTTGAATTTAGGATCAGTTACCAAAAAACAAAGAAATATTCAATTTTTTTATTTTTCTTATTAATTGAATATAGAAAAACATTTTTACTCATACTTATTTTAAATCTAAATAAACAAATTCTAAAAAAATCAATTTTGTCCTATTTCATTTTTTTTTCCAAAAAGATGAATAGCAATTCAATCCCAAATCAATAAATTTGTAGTACAACCAACAGTTTGTATGTTCGTTGAATCATTTCATGTCGAGAGAAAAAGAAAAAGCATAGGAGAGAAGCCAATAGCGTTAGAGAAAATAATCAAAGACCCTAATCTTTGATTAGTGTGGGGTAACAATCATGTATGAAGATAGAGTAGAGAGAAGAAAGAATTCCTTCAAAATAGGTCTTAAAACAAGTCTTAATAAGTTACGAGTTAAAATAAAGATCACAGACATAAGATTTGTTGAAGGAATGCAATCTGCCAGTACCTAGTTCTCACGACATGAACCATTACTTCTCACGTCGTGAGCCAAATTTCGTCATAATTTCAAAAACAACCCGAACCATACTCACGTCATGAGACATTACTTCTCACGTTGTTAGTTGCCTTTAATGAACCATGAACTCTTCATAAGGGTTGGAATCAAGCCCACCAAGGTACATTTTTTTAAAAATTTTATTGACATGATCATGTAAAGTTACTCATATACCCTTTATTGCTTCACTTTTGGCATAATTTTACTTTTGAATGCTTGATTGTATTTGCAATTTTAGACCATTTATTCGTTCGCTTTCTGCATAATTTTATTTTTTATTGCTTACTTTTCCTATCTCAGGCAATAGCAGGACCATGCCATAGCAACACCCTGACATCCAATGGTTTTGTTTCCATTATTTGGTCTGATAACTCTAGCTAACTTGGTTATGAAACTGTTCGAGTATTTTTAACATGGTTCAAAGCTAAACTAAAATAGCTTATTGAAATTTTGCAGGCCAATGGACTATTTTCTTTCATGTCTGAGTTGGTTCTTAACTTTTAGAAGAAGAATAACGTAAAATATTTTGGCATCTGAGTGTAAAAAATAATATTTAAAATAATAAGTTCCTTAATAATACTTTATTGTGTTACATGTATTTTATTACTTACTCATAATATATACTTCAATTTGATTATTGATTATATTTTGTCTGCTTTAGCACTTTGCAGCTTGTGAAAAGACATAAATACCCTTTTTAGATTAAAAAAAAAAAGTTAACCTTGGAGGATAGCCTCAGTAAGTTCCAATAGCAGACCATTTTTTCGTGCATAAA